GCGCGGTTCTCACACCATCAACATTTGCATATCTATGTGCTTACACACACACATGCAGCGGCGAAAACGACAGAGACAGATTATATCTAATCTCCATCCCCGCCGAAAAAGAAGTTGAAATCTGCAGTATGGGAATACTTCCGATATAAAAAAAAAAACGAACGCAGGGTTGTCCTTGAGGACGGATATCCAATTTGCAAAGAAATGTGGATGCAAAGTGGCTGCAAAAGGAGGCAATACATCCAACATGTTCGCTTATATTCGTGAACACCATTCCTCCGTGCAGAAAAAGGTGTCGCATTTATAACAAGTTATAAGTTAAGGCCGTATGAATTCTGTGATGCAGAAGGAATCCTGTGAACATGGAATTTACAGTGTAACGAGGATGGATGGATAAATCAAAAGTACATATGATATGTGTCTGTGAATATTAAAGCGCAGAGACTGCTATATAAATAATCTGCTTGTTTCTGCATGTCTCTGAGTGACGCCGTTTTATCCACTGCATACTGAAGTACGCATGACACTAATGGTGTGTTCAGCGTCACATAAACATGATCACCACCAGAGCTGCTCTGAGAGAAAACTTCAATAAACACTTCCTAGTTTCATTGGAGAAAAACCCTTGTCAAATACACTCTGAAACTCAAAGGTCCGCTACACCCCTCAAAATATCTTGAAATTATGACAGAAATATATTTGCATTGTACAATGGAATGTACTTCAAAGAATAATAATATTCTTTATAATAATATAATTTAGTCAAGATTGAGCCCTGAAAATCTCAACATGCTTGTATTCCTTCATCACGACCTGCACTGAAAAGAAACATAGAAATACAAACATGGTTTTGCACTTTTTGCTCCCATTTATGCTGTTTAAAAGGAAGGACAGTTTGGTATATTTTTGTCTATTCTACATTTTTTGAAAGACCTTGCTTATTTTTCCCTTCTAATTTAAATTTTTTTTTTTTAAATGTTCTAATTCTGCATTTTCTTTTTTTTTTAAATGGGAGATTTTAATTGTTTTTTAATTAATTAATGAATTTTTTTCAGAAGGGAGACTTCAATACTTTCATTAAAATGGTTTCAAGTTTGTTGTAACAAAGCATTTGTTCACTCAAAAAACTTGTTCTTGTTGTTTTAAGGGTCGTTGTTTCTGATCAGAAATATTGTTTACCATATACCGTGAAACCGTGATGTTTTCTGAGACGATTATCATACCGTGAAAACCTCACACGTTACAACCCTAGAAAAGACACCAGAAAACAGAGGTTTTTGGAGATTTTTCTAGAACGTTTAGTTTGAAGCTTCAGCTTTTGGTGTGGCAGGCCAGAATGATGTTTATGCTCAGTTTAATTAAGGTTATATCATCATGACTGACTTCCACACTTCTGCCTTCATTTTGTTCTCTAATCTGAAACCGGACCAACCTGCTCCTGTGAAGCTATCGCTCATGCTACATGCTACTCGGTTCGATCCTCCGTACAACGCAAAGACAAATGTGTATTTTCTATTTCCCTAAATGTCCAGATAAATGTGGAGGGCAGTCAGTCAGTCGCTGTCTCTGTAAGACTGTTGTGTTTTTGTTCCACACTTCTTCCCTCAGATCTCAGATAGCGAAAGCTCTGCCGAGGCTAGCAACTCCACACCAGCACTTAAACACGACAGAAGTGTCAGAAACAGTCGGCTGCGGTGAATGTAGTTATTAATGCTGAGCACCATCACGTACCTGATTAAACTCCTCATCGGTGTTTACATCGCAGTTCTCGTACGGCGACCAGAAGCACGTGACTGACCGCCGCTGTCTCGCGATAACTCGCGGCTTTCACGTGACTCGGAGCTCAGGGCCGGATGACGCTGTAAAGAAAATAAATGAAGAAAAAGCAAAGTATAACATGTTTTTATACAGTCTATGATAACATGTTTAATGCATTCCCTTTCTTTAGCTGCTATAATATCCTCCTGAGACCCAGCTATGGAGTTTTTGTCTCTGTAGTGGACATTATATTTCACCGTGACCACTCTCCGGCTTACATTAATTTAGTGATCACATTCAAAACCCTTATGGAAATAAGATAATATTATGTAATGCTCATTTAAATCTGACTAATCTTCCAATTGTTTGTCATAAATCAACATCTCAGGAAAATATTATGGGGTTTCAAATCAAAATATGACTTATTATGACTCATGAATATGACTCATATTATATTATGAAACAGGATGTTGATTTCATAGCACTAAATGCATGTTTATTACGCATTTTAGGAGACAACAAATTAATAGGGAAAGGAATTATATTTCAATATTCCTATGAAATATTAGATGTTATTATGAAAATCTTGCCAATTATTGCTCCCATTATTACACTTCTTTTTTCATTGCATGTTGCCCCAAAAACACATTAATATGCACATTATAAACAGTGTATAGATGCATTGTACATAATGGGAAAACCCGTTTTTACGCACATGTTGCATAAAGCAAAACGGTATATTAAATCATTCTGTTATATCTTTCATAACATGGTTGAGAATAATTTTTATACAAAGTTTGGGAGTTTTTAATTTTTTTTTAAATCTCAGTTTTTTTGCCTTTTCATGTATATTCATGTCTTTTTATTTATTTTAAAAACAGGACTTTTGAAAGTGTCCTCTACAGAGGTCATAGCATAACATATGAATAAAATATAATTTTTCAAAAATGTTATTTTTCTATTTTTTTTCTTATGCTCTAAACAATGTAATGACATGAAAACATATTCAATTCAACTTTTTTTCTTCTTCTGGTAGTCAGGAGGTTAAGTACATCATTTCTAAATAACTCAAAACTTGTAGCAACTTTAATAAAATTACATTTTTGGGTAAATAAAACTACCTGTAATCAAAATATTACACAAAATTAAACTCTCTGTTTTGCATTAAAAACACCTAAATTAACAATGTGATAATCAAAATCAGGTATTACATTCTTGTAATTAATCTCTCATACATTCTGCCCCAAAAGCAATTAAGAAATGTTCCTATATATATATATATATATATATATATATATATATCAAGCAGCGCTGTCACTGTAGAAAGCACCCAAGAGTAGAGAAATTCAATGTAAGACTTTATTAAAGAACAGGGCACAGTGTGAGGTTTGTGCTTTTAGTAGCTAATAAAATAAAGAATTAGTCACAGATACCAGTGTGTATTCTGTCTCTTCTTTACTCCCTCCCTCTCTTTCTTCTCTTTTTCTGCATCTAGTGGCTATATCTAGTGACAGTATCCCTGCAGACACAACACTTTCTCTGCAGCGTAACCCTTTAAATGTAGGATACAGTCTTAGAACATTGCAACACAATTAATGCCATACCCTATGTACTAAAGAAAGACAGAATTACTTCAAGGAAGCAATTTACCTCTTTATATAAAATAAATAGCATTAATTAAATAAATGGTGGATCCATCCATCTGTATTTACTTCCTTTAAAGAGTGCTTTCTTAGTAGACTAATCTCAGGGAACAACCAACGTAACAATAATGCATTGTTTTGATTCGTGAACCACGAAGCACCATGGCATTATTTTTTTCAGACTTTTTAAAGTCTCTTAACCAAGCTGGTTGTTCTAAGTTGAGTTTGCTGTTCATTCTCATAAGCATGAGGCTGTAAGCTTAGTCACTTTAGGCCATATCATGTGATGTTGCCTGCAAATTGTCAAAGGCTTCCTTTCCTGAATTGCGGACTGGATTCATTGCTTCAACATTACGCAGGTCTAACACTCACTTTATTGGAAGTTTATTCAGACATTTATATAAAAACGTGGAAAACTAGATTTTAAATGCCACAAAACATTTAATATATGAAATTATGGAACAAAGTCCCCCCCCTCCCCTTTAACAACAACTAAGAAAGAATTTATTATTTTCATTCAAATGGGATTTCCTGGGTTTCCTGATATCATATCATATAAGACAAAAATCTCATGCACTTAAATACACACAGATATTAAAATTAATTTATGTAATACATTTTTTTTTCATTGACTGTAACAATATACAGTATGCTTAAAAATAAAAATTTCTCAGAAAAATAAACTTTTTGCACCTAAACATTTACAAAGGAGGCCTTCCAAATCTATCCAAAACAGTTTTCTGTAAATGCAATTAAAGAAATAAGTGGACAACATCCACAAAAATCACGCCCAACATCCACATCAGTACAAAACCTAAGTAAAAGTGTTTTAACAGGGTACACCAGATGAAGGATTTCAAAATGTACTTCTCTCACCTTATTTGTGATGCAATATTTTTAGGCAGCACCATGCATATTTCCACTCAATGCACTCACATTTAGAATGCCAATATGTTTTAGAAGATACTGGGCTATGTTCTGTAAGTAACTTCCTAATAAAGTAATTATTCCATCTCCTATCAGTAATAGCATCTCCTCTAACCCTCTATGGTATGGAGTTGCCATATGACAAGAATTAATTTCTACTCATTTCCTTATTATTCTAAAAAAACATATATATATGCATGAGTTCCGAGTAGCCTACATACTGTAAGTCTAAAATAAATGTGCATTTAAATAGAAAAGAGAATCTTAATTTTATAGAAACACTTATTTTTTGACCATTTCCCATTGTGGTACAGCGTTGCCATATAGCAATCCGGAAAAAAAAGGTTTTATTTTTTTATTTGAGTTTTTTTTTTTTCAAAAATCTGTTTTGATTTGTATAATTTAAGCTATTTCATGTAATAAAATCTTATTTGAAAAAAAATATATATTTCATGGCTAGAACATAATGCATACCATAGAGGGTTAATTGCAATATGAATATATACACAGATGTAAGAGTCAGATTAATAATGTATTGTCGTCTCTGATCAGCAGCAGCAGCAGCAGCGGTGGGCGGGGCTGAGCCAGTCACGCCGATGATGCTGCGCCTCCATTGGCTCGTGTCAGCCCTGACGTCACGATCATGATTAGAATTGATGATCGTACGTTTTGATTTCATTGTCTAGCGAGGGGATTGGTAAAGAAATCTGCTGAATTCGAGGGGTTCGTTGATTCCCGTACTCTACCAAAGGTATCTCTCCCGTTTCATCTCATCAGCAGTATTATACGAACGGCTAATGTCATACATTTAGACCAGCATCGCTTATAAAATAATAATAATAGTAATATTAATAATAATAAAAGTTTCGCGCGGTGGCTTTGGCTCCCGGGCCTGTCTGGTCGCCTCGGGAATTTCTCTCCTTTTGTTTACCGCTTCGTGACGCCTTCTATTGAGTTTGTAACCGCAACGGATGAGCCGCGGCGGGGGTTAGCTGCTCGAGATGTCGCTGTTTTTATGATTATAATCACACGTATTTTCTGCACATTCATCTCTGACCCGATGGATCCGAGGAGCTGATGGTTCAGCAGGATCTGTGTGTGTTTGTAATGGCGCGGGATGGAGACTTTAGCACCGCTGCTAAACCGCATCAGCACCGCTACACTTCACAACAAACACCGCTAGCACTGCATTGCTCTGCTCAACTCTATCCATAGAATTACAGCAGGCTGACGGAATGTACATTTCACTACAAGTTGTGATGAAAGTCACGTCTCCTCACAGAATATGTCATCTGCTTCTTTGAATGGCAATACTAAGTTTTATAACAACAACAACAACAACAACAACAGCTGTAGTAAATATGGCAGGGATTATGATTACCATGACCAGTGATTTAAGTTATTATTATTTTTTTTTTAATAAGCAAATGATAATATATTATGTGGAAAACTCCATTTTAATATTTCAGACTCTAATAATCAGGGTTTTGTTCCCAGTGCTGTTTGAGTCAGAGCTCAGGCATGTCTGGGAATGGAATAAAGGTTTGAATATAATACTAAAAATTAGGGCTGTAACAATACAAAAATGCAACAATATGTATCGTGTACAATTCACCCGAAATGAAAATTACTGTGTGAGAAAAAATTCAAGTTTACAGAGTTTTAGTGTCATTGCTACATTAAACTACTATATATAATGTTGAATATAATGTATAAATAATGCAATGGGGGAATATTTGTGTGTCCTGTTATTATACATTATTTTAAATATATCTAGTCAGTGACTAGATATTCTGTATTATTTTTTTTAGCTTCAGAATCATGCATATTTTTATTCTGGAGTCACCATTGTCCTGTGCATTGAGTGACCAGCACCGAGTCCAAGCATATTCATTTCCACCCCAATTTTAATACCAAATCTAGCATTTTAATCAACAGTACATTTTCTGTTAACCTTTTACCATGTGTCTTGGGAGTATCCCAATAATATTGTATTGTGAGTTCAGTGTCGTGATATGTATTGGATCCTGACATTAAGGCATCGTTACTCCCCTACCACTAATAATGCTTTTTCAGCTCTGCGGGGTCTGACCTGGAGCGAGCAGAACGTGTGTGTTTCAACATCCTCCAAACACAGCGTAAGAGCAGCTAAACGTGTCACGATGGCTGGATGCTGGTGTGAATAGACGGTGTGTTTCTGCTGTATGCTGAGATTAACAGTAGCTGAAGCTGATTCCTGGGGTCTCTCAGTGCATCCATCAGAGGGATGGAAAAATGGCTGGAAAAGAGGAGCATTCACACTGTGAGTATGCATTATCAGACCGGCTCTAAGCCTTTCACATCACACTGCGCACAGCATTTGTGCTGGGGGTTCAGTGGCACAATACAATATTCAAAAAACACTTTGGATGATTTGGATGGAAACCCAGCCACTGTTTCAAGGGTATAGACTAGGGCTGCACGATAAATCGAAATGGAATCGAGATCGCGATTCGACAGAAGCTGCGATTGTCATGCGTATCTTTCAGTGAAGCACGGTTCTGTGATCAGCAGTAAATCTCCATCCAAAGGCCAGAGGGCGCTCTCGCGCTGAAACTCCAAATACGCCTCGCAGAAGAAACCCAGAAAATGCCTATAGCTGCAGCTGAATAAACAGAAGATTCAACTGCTTTCATTGATTCAACGTGACTAATAAACACACGACTACGGCAATATGCGGTTGCAAACAGCTGTCATTATCGCGAACGATTTCTTCGTTTTCAGAATCGCGCAATAAAATCGTCTGCAATTTTGTGTAGTAAATGCTGCTCCATCTGAAAGCACGGGATGATGATTTCCTGCTGATTACAGAACCGGCTTTTTTAACAAAATGCGCATGACAATCACATTCGATTAATCGTGCAGCCCTA